TTATTCCGAGATATTTTATTTTTTTTTGCAGCTACTGTGAAGGGGAATGTTTCCATGTGCTCTTTTTCTGATTGCTTGTTATTGGTAGAAAGGCAATTTTACTATTTAAAAAATTAGTCTCACAGATGATTATCTAACTGCCATATCATTTGGAGTCTGAGAGACGTGGCTCTTTGTCAGCTCCCAGATATAATATAATATCATCTGCAAAAGGGTAATTTGATCTCTTCTTTTCCAATTATTACTCCTTTAATTTTCTTCTCTTGTCTTATTGCTCTTACTAGAGTTTCAACTACTATGTTAAAGAGAAGTGGGGATAGTGGATAGCCTTGTCGCTTCTTGGCCTTTTGGCTAAGATCAAGTGTGGCTGGATTCTTTTACGTAACCTAATTTACTAGAGATTTATCCATGTTGTCCAGTGTATCTATAGTTATCCCTTTTTATTGCTAAGTTGTATTCTATTGTGTGGGTCTACCTCCATTGATCAATTAGTGGGCATTTGGGTGACTTCCAGTTTTCTCATTCACCTCATTTTTTAAAACTTCCTTTATAGCTTTCATTCCTTTATCTGTGTGATGCAGTCTCACATGCAACTCAATCAGTGCATTGCCTGGCATTTAGTAGGGTAAAGCATGCAGAATTGTCAGCATTGGACCGTCTTGATCTATAAAGAAATAATTTCATATTGGCATCGTAGTGTCTAATAAATTTTTAAATGAATGAACATTACTTATTTTTGCATTCAAGAATCTCTGCTTGATACAAAATTGTTTACTTCTTGTTTGAACTCAACTATGTAAGAAATTACATAAAATAAGAGTGATACATTATATTAGCAGTTCTGTAATTGATTGGTAAAAGTCTTATTTTATGCTACTTGTATTTAAAAATTTTTTTTGTATTTCATATAGAACATCTCAAACAATCTTAATCATCTTTATACCCTCATCCCCTCTGGCACCCTCCCATAGCCCCTCTCCCCTTACTGGAGCCATATACTCTGTTATCCCTGTTACTGCCCACTGTGTTGTCAGTACCCCCAGCTGTTCCCTGGTGCAAGTTCATCTGCTGAGTCTAGTCAGCCTATCTAGAGTCCCTTGTTTTAGGACTCTTGATCAGCTCTTCTTCTTCTAGCAGCAATCAGTTGCCAACATTCCTTTAGATAACATTGGGGTCTGCTGTTCATTATCCCAGTCCATGTTGGGTTATTTATTATCTGCCTGAATTTGCATGGGACTATACATGCTGACACCTATGCATGATAGTATGGAAACAGAGTCCTACAAGCTCCTGGGAACCTGCTCATATGGTTCTATGACTTATTTGTATTTTTATCATATCTGTGTTTATAAAGTAATCATGTATTACTTTTATATAGAAAATAACTTTACAGAGAAAAAAACCTGGGCTAACACTTTTTCTGGTTTTTATATTTTATTTAAAAGGGTTTTTTTTTTTTTTTTCCAAAGGAAAGGTCTCTGGTTTTGAATTTAAAAATCATACATTTCAGTTTGGCCTCTGTGCTAGTTGTGTAATAATCTTCCCAAGGCTCCCCCCCACACACCCCAATAATCTGCAGTTATAGCCTATTTTTTTCATCACTGAGAGGGAAGTGCTGAGACGTGACATGCATGCTGTACCATGTTATTTGCCTTCTTCTGTATCCCTGGTCCATGTCCTGACCATGGCTAAAGGCAGTGCAGCTCTGACCATCTTCTCCTGCCTGTGGCTACGGGCAGTATAGTTCTGATAACCTTCATTTCTGCCTTAGTTTTTTTGTAACTATAGTATTGTTTTTTCTCTTTTTGGTTTCTTGTCTTAAAAAAATAGTTTTTAAATAAAGCAAGATGTGTAATGTGTTCCTTGTTTATATAAAGCAACAGGTTTAAGAATGCAGAATTTGACTTTCTGATAGCAACATTAATGGACTTTTCATTTCTTTTTTGTTTTTTTGAAGAATATCAAAGAATATTCCTACAACAAAAGATGTTGAGCCACTGCTTGAAATTGATGGAGATATAAGAAATTTTGAAGTGTTTTTGTCTTCAAGGACTCCAGTTCTTATGGCTCGAGATGTAAAGACTTTTTTGCCATGCACTGTAAACCTAGATCCCAAGCTACGAGAGATTATTGCAGGTGGGTATTAGTGGTACATTTAATTTTTCTTCAAAGTCCTCAAAATTTTTCATGTTTTTTTTTCTTTCTATTTTATTTTTGAGACAGGTTCTCACTGTGTAGCCCTAGCTGGCCTGATACATGCGTCATAGCCCAGGCTGGCCTCAGATTCATTGCAATCTTCCTGCCTCAGCCTCTAAAGTGCTGAGATTATGGGCATATGCCACCATGCCTGGCAGAATTTCCCATTTGTATCTTAGCTTTGCAAGCTTTCCCTCTACTTTTCAAGAAATCAAGACATTGGAGCCATGTACTCCATAGAGAAATTAATGAACTTGAGGACCAGTAGCATTGCCGTCCATTTGGGAGTGTTAAGAAAATGTTATTTGCTGTACTCTGCTGTATTGTCTTCCTTGCCTCACCAAATTCTTTCCTTGGAACTTTGAACTCAGGTTATTTTAACAAATAGCCATGACTTTCAGAGGCCAAACATTGTAATATTTCTGTTGTCAGTCTTCTGCTCTTAAAGAGGGGTCTTAGTCTAGAGGAGGACAAAAGAGACTATGTTACTTTTAAGCTTTTAACCTAATTTGTAAAATGGGACTTGTGGATACTGATATTCAGGGTTTATTTATTTCATGGTGATAGTAAGAATCAAATCTAGGGTCTTGTGCATAGTAGGCAAGCACTCTACCACTGAATATATCCTTAGCCCCCTTTTCACTTTTATTTTGAGACCAGGTCTCACTAAATTGCCCAGGTTGGCCTTAAACTTTTTATCCTTCTGTCTTACAGCCTTCTGAGTGTGGGACTATAGGCTTACAATACCATGTTCTCTTCGTATTAAGGTTTTAGAATAAAAGAAGATCTTCAGCCACCTTTGTTCAGAAGCACACAGACTGAAGCTTAGTTGAAGAACTAGGATTTCATGTGAATTTCATCAACCCATAATTGAGTTTTCCAGAAACTACTAAGTAATCTCCTTAAACCAGTCCTATAAAGTAAAATAAGGCTCAGAAAACATGTCCTATATGATCTCACCCATATGTGGAATCTGGAAAAGTTTTCTTGTAGAAATAGGGAATGGAACAGGACTTACTAGAGCCTGGGAAAGTAGGGAGGATGGAGGATGATGAGAAGAGGTTAGTCAGTGGGTACAAAGATACAGTTCATTAGGAGGAATAATTTCTGACTTTTATTACACAGTAGGGTAACTACAGTTTATAATAATGTTTCAAAATCTAGAAGAGGAGATTTCAAATGATCTTATCATAGAAAAGTGATGCGTGTTTGATGTGATGAGTATGTTAATTTCCCTGATTTGATTATTGCACAATGTTTACTCCTGTCAAAAAAGTATATTTTATCATAAATATGTACAATTATTATGTGATGATTAAAACACCCAAAATATTCCTGATTTCTTTTTGTAGGCACTTATTCTAAGCCTGATGCTTTTGTGCCTGTGGAATCTGTTGCTGAGAGAGCAGTGTATCTCAGTTTTCAAACCTACAATTTAGCTCACATTGTGTATATTAAGACTAGATGGATTTAGGGCTGGAGAGATGGCTCAGCAGTTAAGAGTCTGTTCTTGGAGAAGTCCCAGGTTTGATTCCCAGCACCCCCTATGGTGGCTAGCAACCATCAGTAACTCCAGTTCCAGGAGATCTGACACCCTCTTCTAGCCTCCATGGGTTTGTACTCATGTGATGTGGTTACATACATGCAGGCAAAACACTAATGTACATTAAAAAAAAGTCAAAAAATTATTTTAAAGATTAGACAGATTTGAGCTCTTTGTTAGCATATCACAAATAAAGCTGTAAAGAGTCAGAGAGAAATAGATTGTTTTGGTAACTGAAGAGAAGAATCTAAATGTTGGTAACTTTTCAAATACTGAAAAAAAATTATGCAAAATAATTGGGCTTTTTTTTTCACTTAAAGTTCTATGGATTATTCAAAATTTCCTGTCAACTCCTTAAATCCAGTTGGAATCCCTGGCAAAAGTGATAAATTATGTTTCTGTAGTAGCTGGTGGTTAGATTAATCACTAGTGTCCTGTTTTCTTTTGTCTCTTGGGGTATGATGAAATCTTTCAGATGTTCGTGCTGCAAGAGAGCAGATCAATATAGGAGGCCTTGCGTATCCTCCACTCCCTCTGCATGAAGCTCCTCCTCGGCCACCCTCTGGATACAGTCAGCCTGCATCCATCTGCTCCTCCTCAACATCCTTCAACGGGCCATTCCCAGGTGGGGTTGTGTCACCACAGCCCCACAGCAGCTATTACAGTGGCATGACTGGCCCTCAGCATCCCTTCTACAACAGGGTAAGGGAGGCATCTTTGCTTTAAAGAATTTCTTCTAGGAAAATGTCAGAATTTTTCTGCTTGAGGATGCTATTATTATTTTGGAACTGTAATTGGGCTTTAAAATAGAAAAGTGTAAGTTTTAAATGTAAAAGCATATGATTTTTAAAAAATCAAATCTTAAATTTTAGCATGTTCTGGAGTTTTAAAGTGTCTGAGGATTAGATACTTATAGCTTTTATTTATTTTCTTGATAAGAAAGTGAGCTCCACAAGTTCATGGTGATTGCCCAAGGCTATAAAAAGTCTATTTTGCTTTTGTTTGTTTATAAAAAAATGTTACTTTGGTATGGTTTATGTAACAATTTATATTGGTATTTACAATGATAAATCCCTATAGTAGTTCATAATATTTATACATATGACATATCTTTTAAATGTGAAAAAATAATGGGAACGTACTGATTGGAAGTCTCAGATGTTATTGCCAGTGAATACCACCAGAGCCCATTTTTAGAATTTTATTTCAAGTTACCTTTAGTCATGTGTAATTGTTTGCTTAAGGCATAATTTCACAACTAAAAGATCAGTTGATCAAAGGTGTCTGTTGTCACTTTAATGACCTTAATTACTAATGATTTCCTATAGGAAAATGGATCGTGAGCCATAGTATGCTTTATGGAATGGTACTCTAAAATCCACTACAAGTTTTAATTTGTCTTTCCTCCCTTTTTAGTGTAATTCAAGATAATATAGAGCCTAATATTCATTAGAATATAACTATTTCATATGAGCTGGGAAGATAGGGGAGTTTTGAAATAAATGTGGCAAAGAAGGAATTGTAGAATTTAAATTAAATTTTCAGTTTTTGAAAATGTCCATGTTGGTAATTAAGTTTACTGTTCATAGAGTTATAGAAATGTGATTCCATTTTCCTGTGTAGGCAAGGCAACAAAGGAGGAATCAATAGCAATAATGATGTATTCATTCTGTATAAAATTAAATATGTTGTAGGTGGTGTGGAATACAAATTTTTATTCACCTGTCTTAAAATCTGCTGCAAATTTTGCATAAAATGGCTCAATCAATACCAATTAAAGTTTTGAAAATAAGTTTATATGAAAAAAATTATGAAACCACTAGGTTGAATCGTGTGTTCGTTTAAGAGCAACAATAATACAATAATGCTTTTAAAGTATTTTGTTATTTTTAAAACATTTTAATTTTCTCTTGTTTTTAGGTGTAGCGATTTTTTTGTTTGTATTTGAGGTTTTTAGTCATATAGTTAAAAGGCAGAATAATTCTCTTAAACTGTCAAGAGTAAAGAAGATGAGAGAAGTTGCTGCCCCAGTGCAGTCAAACTCATGGATTCTGATCTTTACTTTCAGCACATAACCTGATAGGTGAAGTTGGTTATAAGTAAATGCAAAAGTTATGTCTTATGTAAATAGTGGGTTCTCCATATTTTTATTTATTATTCATTTGTTTTTTTTTTTAATGGTTTTGGGGGACAGCATCTCCCTATAGCCCCAGCTGGCCTGGAACTTGCTATGTAGACCAGACTGGCCTCTGTCTCACAGAGATCTGCCTGCCTCTGCCTCCTGAATGCTGGGATTAAACACATGTGCCATGATGCCCAGTCCTCCATCTTATTTAAAAAAAAATACAGCTTCTTTTTTAGCATGTAGAGCACATTCTAGTTTGTTATGAGATAGGTAAACTACAGAACTAAAATGACGTGGGCATTTGTTGGTCTTAGGTTTAATTTTTTTTTCTTTCTGTTTTTTTGTTTGTTTGTTTGTTTTTTGGTGGCGGTGGTGGTGGTTTTTTTGTTGTTGTTTTTTGTTGGTTTTTTTTTGGTAAGGCATGACATTCCAATAATATTCTAGTCTGTTTTTTAAGAAGAAATTGTAGGCTAATATGTATAAATCAGATGCAGCAAAACTGTTAACATGTTAAATATAAAGATGAAGTATTTGTCATATCATAAGGTATGAAACTTCAGCTGGTTTCTTTTTTTAAAGCTTATATTAAATGAAACAAGATAAAAATGTCAGTCATTGTCTTAACTCTGGGTTTATATCTTACAGAATATGAAGGAGGCTTTTGTCACTTTAAAATTTTTGAAGTTGTGTTTGATTGGTTAGTTTCACTTGATAATTCTCATTACACTTTGATTTCTGTAATTGTTCATGCCCTTTTTTGTTACATGTTTTTCCATAGCCATTCTTTGCCCCATACCTTTACACGCCAAGGTATTACCCTGGCGGTTCCCACCATCTCATCTCACGTTCATCAGTAAAAACGAGTTTGCCCAGAGATCAGAACAATGACCTAGTAAGTATATAAAAGGGTAACTAAAACAATCTCATAAAACATGGGTAGCATTAAAACTGGGTGCTTTCCCTTTCTGGAGTAGAACAGCACAACTTACTTTTATAAATAGTTTTAAGAAACAAACTGTTACTAACATAAAATGTGTATGCTTTCATTTCTGATAAATATCTATGAGAGAAAAGTGACTAGCCATCTCTGTGATTAAATATTGGGTTTTTAGGACCAGAGATTTCTGGCTTATAACAAAGTGTTTGCTACCAAAACCTTAAAAACTAGGCCTTTCTATCTGCTAATTTCTAATATCTTTTTAAAGGACACACATATATATATGCATATATATGGAATCTCTCTATGTGTATATATATTAGCACTATGGTGTAAAAGAGGGAATGTAGTTAAAGAACAGCATTCTAGTCTAGTGGTAGGAATTAAATAGAACAAGAGAAACTTGTTTAAATATACTATTGAATATAATTACTCCAAAACAAAACACATCTGTGCCAAATATATTAGGGGTTCCTTATGATAAACTTTGTTAAGTAACTATTAAAAACACATTCCATGTTAATATAATTTTAATTAAATTTTAAAGTGGTGGGAAGGGAAATTCCAGTCACTTAGGTGTTGTGGTGTTATCTGTGTTACTTTGACATCCTGTTCATTCATCTTCCTGTATGGCTCATCTGCCCTGTTTACCCACTTTCTGTTTTATGTTGGTAGGAAGTTATCAAGGAGGATGCTGCTGAGGGGCTTCCTTCACCCACAGACTCCTCAAGGGTAATGGAGTAGTCCTGTGGTGTGGAACACTGGTGTCTCATCGCTTCTGTAGCAGCCATGACTATCTTAACAGGATGGCAACAGTTTACTAACTGCACTTGTGGTGTGATGGGCAGCCAGCATAGAATAGCTGAATACTAATAATTAAAGCTCATGAATTAATTCCAAAGCTAATATTTAATTTTGCCATGTTTTTTCTTGCATTTTCCCCTTTTTCAGTGACATGGGAAAGGGTTCTGTATTCTCTAGTAATGAAGAGCTGTTTCCAGGAGCCATCATGAGTATTCAGTTGATGTTTTTTTCCTTAATGCTGAGCCTTGTTTTTATCTTTGACTGTTTTTTTGTTTTGTTTTGTTTTGCTTTGTTTTGTTTTTTTGAGACAGGGTCTCCCTGTAGCCCCAGCTGTCCTGGAGCTCACTATGTAGACCAGGCTGGCCTTGAGCTCACAAAGATCCACCTGCCTCTGCCTCCCAAGTGCTGGGATTAAAGGCGTGTGCCACCATGCCTGGCTCCTTTGACTGTTTTTTTTTGTTGTTGTTGTTTTGTTTTGTTTTTTAATAAAGCCTATAGTTGGTATTATACACGTAGAATACTTTTGGAAAGTAAGTATTCTAAAACACCTTTGACATACAGAAAGACAGTTAGCATCTCTAGTGACTCCCTTAACCTGGGTGTCTCCAGTTAGTGGAGTCTGCATATAAGTCTTCATGCAGTATTATCATTACTTATTCATTAAAATAAGATTTCTAGGCAAACCTAGAGCTAGTTCAGTATGTAAAGGAAATTGTTTAAGCCCTTTTCCCTAAGCACATTAAGGTAGCTTCCTTTAAAAAAATAAATGAACAGAAACAAACTTTAGAAAAAATCACTCTAATAATTATTCAAGACCTTATACTTAATAAGAAATGCTTGTGATAAGCCTTACAAATCTTAATTTAGTCAATCAATGTGCAATTAAAGAACTATGTATTTTTAGCTTCTGTTTTATAAACAGAATATTTTTATCTCAAGTAAATATGACCTCTTTAACCTAAAACTATGCTAAAATGTGGCAAGTAATTAAGAGTTAATGGGTAAAATATTGCATCCTAAGTTTATTAATAATTTTTACTTTAAAACATGCATTTGAATAGGTAATAGATTTTTTTAACTTTAATTTCCTTTGAGTTAATCTTATTAAGAGAGAAAAGGGAACAGTTTTGTTGCTTTCATCAAGAGGTTAATTCTTCAGTTATTAACATGTTAGCTGAAATGTTTGTAACTTCAGTTATCCACAAATGACAGACATGGTAAACCACAGTAGTTCTGTTTGAGTGCTTAGGGAATCTTTAACCCATAGATCATTACCACTATATGCAAGATTCACCTTAATTTAGTCAGAGAGCTTTTAATACAGAGATTCATGCATGTAATGCAGTTACATGAGCTAGAATTCCTCAGCAAATTTTTGATGAAAATCAGATACCGTGAAGGATTTGATGACCTTAGTGACATGGAAATGCTGAAACAGCAGCCATTCCCTTGTGCAGAAATGCAGGCAAGCACTTCTGATTAAAAGGAATCTGATTTTTTTTCTCAGCCCAGGCAAGGGAAAGCATTAGACATTATTTGAAATAAGTTTTTTTTGGGGGGAGAAGGGAATAATGCAGTTCCTGAGACATGTTTCGAAGCCTAATAACAAAGCATAAAAGTACTTCACCTAGAGTAGTGCCCTTATGAGTAAAATAACCATACTGTTGTCCTTTCAGTACTAAAAGATAGTTTTATAGTTGATGTAGTGAATAATAGATGCTTACCAAGCTTATTTTGTTTTTAAGAAATTAACAATGACAATGGCATGTAAAATGTGTTTTGTAGAAGACTAGCAAAAATAAGTAGGATGTAGTTGAAAGCCAAATTGGAAGCAGTGGTAGAAATGTGAAGACCCTGAGCACAGTAATGCTGTTGGGTGTTAGATGGACCAGCGGTACTTACCGTACTTAGCCCTGTGTGTTCCTGGGGTTCCCTAGTCCTGCCTAGACAACAGGGCTGGTAAGTGATTCCATGTCTGCCCAACCAGCAGTCCCCTGAATATACTCTTGATGGGAACAGCTGCTTGCATGTAAGTCAGGAGCTACACAAACCATTTAGAACAGATTATCATGCCATTACACATGGACTAGTGTTGGGGGAAAAGCCAGGTTAAAAAAAAAAGTCAACCAACTATGGTCTTTTAATATAGGTGAACTCATTTGTTTTTTACAGCACGGAATTTCTAATAAACCTTTGAAAAGCAAAGGAGTTTAGCCAGGAGTTTAGCAGATAACTTATACATTCAGGTGTTTCACAATGTGAGGCTTGAAATACAAACCTCTGTGCTAGTTTTTTCCCTGTAATTTTATGCTAGCTATTATGAAAATGAAAATAATATTAGACCCAAGATGTGCTCCAAAAATATTAGAGCTGGAAAAGGCCAGTGTGTCCACATTTAGGCAGAGCAGTCTGTCTCATAATCGTAGCTTTAATCTGCACCACAATTCATAGACGCAGAGGGAGCAGACCATCTCCCCTGGTCTACCTTAGACTTACCTTTTCTCCTGCGGCTCCCCCAGGCATAGCTAGTATCTTGGGGCCTAGTCCAGCTTCTGTGGTACAGAACTGTGTGAGGCTTGCCTGAGGACAGAGTGGCATGGTAATGAAGAGCCAGAATGCACCTGTTCCCCAGCCCAGTGCTATCTACCCATTTCCACTGAGCATGAAGTTAAATAGATCCTGGTGATGAGCTTCTAGCCTTCCACAAGCTACTTTACCTCTCTGATTCTATGCTTTATAGTCCTGGAAAAGCAGACCTACTTCTTCGGTCTGATTTAAGTAATAATAAGTCTAGCCCATTTAAGTATATTATTATTTATTAAGATACCTCAAAGCCACAGAATCTTAAAGACTCAGAACTAAAAGTGCTTCAGGTTAGGTAACTGTTATCTAGTAGTGCGAAGCAGTACACAAATCTCCAGTTTAGATGAACTCAGGTGTTTTATTTCTTGATGTTTCTTAGGCTTAAAAAGCATAATTTGGCTCATAGTTTTAGAGTTTAGAAGAATTTCTAGGTTATTTTAATGCTTTGAATATAGTGATGCATCACTTAACAACAGGAATATTATCTAAGAATTACACTTTGGGCAATTTTGTCACAGTGTGAATATCATAGAGTGTACTCACACAAACTTAGGCAAGTATTGATATCACTAGATGGAACATTACTGGACCACCATTTATATACAGTTTCATGTTGGCTACAGTCTTATGTAATACATGACTATGCTTTAAATTTTGAAAGCTTTTCAACAAGATTTTACTTGGTCCCTTTAACGTTCCTTCAGGCTAGTTCTCACCAACATATCAGTTGACCCCCACACTGGTTTGAACTGCTTAGCTCCACTGAGATGTGAGTTGCTTTGAGGAGAGAGATTTATATGATTTTTTAAAAGAAAGACTTACTACATAGTCTAGAAATACTGAAAAATTAAGGAAAAGTTGGATTTGTCATAATGAATAAAATGTATAATAAAAGTATTTTACCATAAAATACATACAAATCTATTATAGATAATCAAGATTTATTCAAGCTTATGCACACAAAGATGTGGCACATTCATAGTGAGAGAAACGTAAGCAAGTATCAGAATGCAATGTCGGCTGCTCTGCACAGGGTCAGGTGTAGCACCCACTGCCCTGCTGTGATAATCTCTGGCTTCTCCTGCTGTCACAGGAGCTCAGTTTATAATGCCATGGGAAGCACCTCAGCTCAGTGTGAGCAGATTGTCTCTCCAGGAAATATTATACAAAGGTGAAGGAAAAAACCTTTTAGGGTTCCCAGGTTCTCATGTGTTTTTTGCTGTAATACAGATGGCATGCAAAATATGGGTTTATCAACTCTTATCAGCAAAGTTTCTGTTTAAAAGCAGGCTACCAACAGGGTTTTTTTTTTTTTAGGAACCCAAAGTTGTATGTGGATTTTTGACTGTGCAGGGAATTGGTACTCTTAAGCTCCACATTGCTTAAGAGTCAACTGTAGTGGCATTGAGATCCTTCTGTGACCCTTATAAAAGAAAGGGCTCATTATAGAAAGCTTGGTCCAGGTTCCCTCATTGACTTTCTGTTATGGCATCTCCAAGACCCGCTCTGAAGGGTGACTTCAAGTTTGTGGCTCCTTGGGGTAACTGCATTTTATTTGCAAACATTTTTCCCCCAAAGGAAAGAATAACACAGCCATTTCTTCATTTTTTTTTGTCATCCTTGACTGATTTATTAGCAGTGTATACTGCTGACACTGTGATCAATCATTCATTGGCCTGACACATTTATTGAGTATGTGATGGTTCTATCTAGTGGGATAGAATGATAAGAAGCCCTGCCCACACAGAGCTTATGGATTTGAAGGCCACCAAGGGGATTACCAGTACTTGCAAGTCATTCTTTCTTGACCTTCTCAATGCATGGAGATATCTTTAGATTGCTTATACATTATTGAAAAGACATGTCAGTAATTAGCTTCAAGTTTAATTGTAAGGAATTTCATAATTGTAGAGGCAGCATTAAAATAATTTCATGATATCCAGTGTGTGCTTAACATTACATTTAAAGATTGGAGAAAGCTATTGGTTCACTAAAGGTCAGAGTTTTTAACTAAACAGGACCCAATTCATGAAGTTATCAAGTAAAACATGAAAAACTTACTTTTTATTTCCACCACTGGTTTAGAATTTACAAACTATTCTCAAACAAGTACATGTCCAAACCAAGCTGTCTCTTCATTGTTCAGGAGAAGAATTTGACAAGAAAGTTGCAGATGCCATGGGTAAGGAATTGGGACATTTTGGGTCTCATTTAGAATTGGGACAAGTATCCCCATCACCTCTCAGACACTTCCTGCAGTAGCTTCAACCAGCTTGAACATTGCTCACCCTTTTTGCAGTGTTTTAGAAGTGGATTTTCATTATTCTTTCTGAATTTGGGAAAGTATAAGGGTTTTTACCCCCTTTTATTGAAATACAAACAAAATGTATTTACTTCCTACATGAAAGTCTTTATGCCAGATTCAATCAAGAATATTTTTTCCTGAATTTCAAGTAAATTGCGTAGGATATTTTCATAGATTAATCTGTAGAAATATTGAAATTCTAGGTATAGTTAAGTTAAAAAGTAGACAAAACCATGTTCTTTGCAGTTCAATACTATTTGCTGTCTTTTAAAAGACTGTCCTGTAACTGTAATGTTAAGCCTTATTCATCAGCTTTGATGGAATTATTTCTCAAGCAGTTTGGAGACTAAGTTACATAGTGATTATAACAACCAAAGAAAAAGAAAGAGTAAATTGTATTTTCAACTAATTAGCAATAGCCTTTCCTGTGTTTGAGTATCTTCGCCCTAGTACTCTCTTGATATCTTTACAAGTTTCCATGGTGTATATAATCACTTTCTAAAGCTTGATTATGGTAAACTTGATAGTATAAGTAGAAAATGAGGTTCCCATGTGGACTTCAGACACTGACCATGTTAAAAGAAAGTCATGTAAGGTGAGGCTAGCAAAGCCCTTCCCTTGTTTACCAAAACAGTGTGGTCAGTTAACTTTGTTACAATTTGTCAACCATCTGTAGACTATTTTAAGCATTTAAAAATATTTGCCACCAATTTTTAAGTACAGAAAAATAATTAACAGCAGTAGTTGTTTGCTTTGAAATAGAGCTTTAAAAATTCTACGTGGTAGGTCTGGAGAGATGGCTCAGCAGTTAAGAGCACTAGCTGCTCTTTCAGAGGACCTTAATTTAGTTCCCAGCACTCACATGGTGGCTCACAACCACCTATAACTCCAGTTTCAGGGGATCTGACACCCTTTTTCTGATCTCAGCCTGTTTACATACAGGTGGTGCACTTATATACACACATGCACTCATAAACATTAAATAAAAATAAATTTTAAAAAATTTAACTCCTATATAACTAAAATAGTATGCTAAGCATAATATGTTTGGGGGGCTCCCCCTCTTTTACATTTTTGATTTGTTGGGCTGTAAATCTGAAAAACTGTCTTTTGAATAGGCATTTGAGATATCTGTTAGAATTGACATAGCCAATGAAACAACTTTAATTTAACAGTGTATTTCTGAATGCTAACTACATTGTGGCTAGAGACCTTATTTTATGGGGTGATCATATAATTACTTAGAGGAGGCATGTTGACTTTTTGCAGAAAATTTGATTTGCCTGGTTTTCTTGTTGAATGTATGATATATGATTTATTCTTTTATATTATTCTTTTAATAGAAAAAAGTGAATTTTTAGAGTGAAAATTTAAAATTTACAAGTGTATATTAATGAAATCAAACTATTCTATGCATTATATTCCTTGCTCTGTGCTCTTGTCACCCAGGATCTGTTCAAAGTTAAGGGGAAATGAGAGGCATGGCAAGGATGCTGTCTGTGTACATGATGCGTGTATTTGATGTTTTATTTCACACTCATGGCCTTCACTCTGTTTTATTCTTTCCTTAAAGCCGGGTGACTCTGGGTTTAACAAACAGAGACAGGTACAGAAACTCTGGCAAAAATCTCACTTTCCTTACTAGGCTATTACATAATCATTGGCTACTTCATGCTGGGCTGTTTACACATCTATGCTCTTTTCGGTGCATTGGTTTTATTTTAATAGCTGCTTTCAGCCTTTGCATGGCACTCATTGCTGACTAATCAGTTTTAAGCTTATTTAATAAATTTACTAAAGATATAATATTCCACAGTATACTGTAGTTAATCTACTGACAGTATTAAGCAAAAACAATTACCTCAGGTTATTTCAGTGTTTTGATAGCTTTTCTTTTACCTGGAAAAATTCTGAGTTATGTGCATTTTGAAGTTTATATTTAATAGTTTAAAGAAACTAACATGTGCTGCATTCAGTTTTTCAAATTAGAAAAAAAAATCCTTTAAATATCGATTTATGAAATCAGAATGCTGAATGATGTGTTCTGGACTTACACAGGTAAATTTCAAGTAAGAATGCATTGTAAATAGTGAACTTCTCTAGGTAGTCTCAAAATGATATAGTTTCTATTAAGAATGTAACTACACCGGACATGGTGGTGCACGCCTTTAATCCCAGCACTCGGGAGGCAGAGGCAGGCAGATCTCTGTGAGTTCAAGGCCAGTCTGGTCTAATAGTAAGTTCCAGGACAACTTGGGGCTACAGGAAGACCCTGTCTCAAAAAGACAAAAAAAAAAAAGAAGAAGAAGAACGTAGCTACATAATTTATTGCATATATCTTTAGTTTCCTTACCATTTTTATACTCCTTTTACTTCTATGAAATTTCTATCCAAAAATTCATTATTTATAAGATCCATTTGGTTTCAAAGTGATTTCACTGTATATGATTATTTAGAAAATACTTGGAAGGTAGTTAACATTTCTCCTTCATTTATATATGCAACATATATTGTTTTAAAATTAATTGATAATTTATCACTTGATAAAGACAAACTTACAAATAATCAAGAGTCAGACAGTAATCTTGATCATGTGGTTGAAGTCACAACCAGATGTCATTCATCTGGCTCTGTGGTTTTGTTTTTCTTTTCCTAACTAATAAGTCTTGGGGAGATATTTGAAGCTATGCACACGTTTTGTTCTTGTTTAGGCTTTTGCCCATTAATTTTAGCAGCCATCAATGGATTTTGAGTACAAGCACCGCAAAGTGGTATTTGCCTAATGGAAATTTTCTGTTTCTCTCTGCCACATTTATTAATTGGAATGCTATAAGGAGAAGCGGCCTCTTCTTCCTAATTCATTTACTTACTCAAGTATTTAGTTGTATCAGTATGAAATCATGGATTTTAATCTACAATCTATAATCTAGCATGATTATTACTTATTTTGTTCATCAAACTATTCTTTTGTGATTTTTGAAAAAGAAAGCCAATATAAATATATTCAGAGTAAGGAGATAGATTAAAAAATAAAACCATTTGAAAGAATTAAATAACATTGAAAAGATTAGTATTATCCAGTAGTAAAAAGAAGTGAAGAATGACACCATATGAATGAGCCTTAAGGCGTCATGCTAAGTGAAGGAGTGATAAAGATGCATACACACTGTATGATTTGGTTGGGTGAAGTGTCTAGAACAGTTATCCCAAAGCCTCAGAGACAGAAACTAGTTGATTGGTTGCTAGGGACTAGAGGTAGGGTTGCAGGGATGGGGAGTGACTGATAATGGGAAGGGATTTCTTCAGGAGATGATAGTTCACAACTATGTAAATAAAGTCATTGCATTGTATACTTTCAATGTGGGAATCCCATAACATGCTAATTATACCCTAGTGAAACTACTTTTTAAAAAACAGAATGAAACAAGCATGGTATTAAAAATTCACATAAAGCTTTCCTGCAGTAAATCATGGATAATGAATATTTGGAATGCTGGCTGTACTTATCCAGGCAGAAACTGGAACAGTGCATAGAGATATGAAAACTAAATTATGGAAAGGCTAGTTTCTGTTGTTCATATTTTAAAAGCAATTCAACCCTGCATCATATGAGTTATGGCACATTTTATGTTTAAAAAAACAAAATATAAGTAATTGTATTTGGTAAATATATTCCAGGTCATTAATTTCTAAATGTTTATGGGCCTGTATCATACTTGTAAACTTAGTAGACTCCTGACTCATAAAATTGCTACTCCTCCTGTCTACTTAACATGGTCTCAATCCTAGCTATATTTAAACTTATATGAAATATCTGCATCTGATGTATATATGCCATATATACATGTATTTATAGGTTAGTAAGAATATTCTGTTTTTATATTACAAATAAGGTTTGACAAGTGTCTGACAGGCATCTTAAAAGATGCCTGTCTAACAGGCATCTTAAACTATGGTTCCTGATAGCTGTATAAAGTACATGGTAAATTTACATATATTTGAGGACATGATAAATCTTATTTGTCATTTAATGATTATGTTGAAGGGCAAACAGGAGAGATTGGTACATAATTATCTTTCTCCTAGAGATCAGTGATTTCTCTTTATTGTGGTTATAGCTTCCATAACCTTTTCCAAAATAGTTGGAGCAAAGAAAATAGGAAATTTATATAAAACCTGATCAGTTAGACTTTGATCCAAACCCACCATTGCCTAGCTGTTCATTCAGTGCCTAGGAAGTCTTAAACTGCCCTCTCCAGATCTGCATGTGCCCTTGTGTAATTGACAAGAAGTACACATAGCTGACAACAGGCAAATCCCTCTTCAGTATGCCACTACTTTGGAAAATGTTCTGAATAAGTGATAGGTTTATTTATTATTTTGACTTTTCTTTTTAAATAAGAACAAATTTTTATAGATTAGATTATGTGACTCCTGTACAGAGTTAAGAAGAAATTTTAGATCTCTTGGATAGTTAAATTCTGAAAACTTCATCTGTTACAGACTACCAAGGTAGTTTGTAGAAATGTTTAAAAAGCTGCTTAATTGCTTAATATAGGCATTTTAAAATTATTCTTAGTCTTGTCTTTTTTATTCTGTAGTATAGGTATCTGTAATGTTTCCTCTTTTTCTTTTTTCTCTTGAACTGTTTCTTATTGAGGGCAGTACCCTTGTTTCTTGAGGTTAAGCTATAACTTGGTCTAGGCCTGGTCCATGAGATGGCCATCTTAGAAGCTGTCTCTGCTGTGATATGAGTTACTTGTTACATATCACAATACGTAAATCTATCTTCAAGGGTATTTTCTTACACTATGTATATTAGCTGGGCTTATTTCAGCAGTGTAACTTGATAAATTTTTCTGTCACATGGCCTTATCTACCTTGTATTAAATACTATTCATATATGTACTTTCCCTTGACTTCCCTAGGGATCAGGCCCTGCCACAGGAATGGTGCTGTCGCTGAATTCAATGACTGTGGATGCCGTGTGTGAGAAACTGAGACACATAGAAGGGCTGGACCAGAGCATGCTGCCTCAGTACTGTGCAACAATAAAAAAGGTGATCTGTGTATTTGCATTTCATCGGCAGATAGGCCTGAGAGTGCAGGAACAGGCAGGACTCCAGACAGTGCATCTTCACACCAAGCTGCTGCAATGGGGGATCACTTAAGTAGAAGAGAGATTCTTCCTTTTTTGGATCCTAAAATTGCTCTTTTATCTAATTTTGTAAGTGAGTTAAAGAAAAAGGCTGAATTATAGTGCCATTTTAAAAATGATCTAAAATAAAAAAATAAAATGCCTTGATGAAAAATACAGGGCTCTAGGGAATTTCATGTTTAGATCAAGAGCTCATTCAGTGTGGAGCTGAGAATAGTCTCAGGCCTACTCATGTGTGGTGTATTATCTTCATGTGTACAGAGTGAGCATCTTTAATCTGAAAATCCCAAGTCGAAAATGTTCTAAAATATGAAACTTTTTGAGTTTGGAGACCAATATAAATCAAATGTCAGAGCCTTTCAGATTTTTATTTTGGAGATACTCAGTAAAGTCGGTGCAAATATTCCAAAATGAGGGAAACTGGAGTACTAGTAGTAGTTTTGGTCTCAGGCATTTAGGGTAAGGATACTCAGCCTTCAATATGTGTTCATATGATTTAATAATAATTATCAGTGTCAGCTTCATTACCCACAAGTTCTCATTTTTGTGTTGTAAGATTTATGATTACATCACATTTGAAGAACACATAGGATTGTGCTTGCAAGCCTGATGCATTCATGGAAGTTTATTTCTCCCAGTATTCTTATGGTTCCAGCAGCCATCCCAGAGTTGAGCAGTTCCTGGGAAGTTATTACGGGGAAGGCATTGCCACTGTGACATTAACCAAGTCCAGTTACAGATTTTTCTACTAATCTAAACTTTCATGTCACCATTATTAAAGTATATATTGATAGCAAACTTCTGAAGTTTATGTACTTCACAGAATTATGAGTATTTACACACATCATTTTATTAATCTTAACCCACCTTTAGTCAGAAAGATTTCAGCTAATATCCATTTTCTTATGGAGCTGGTTCATGCCTATCCTTGTCTATCTGAGTCAGTACCTCCTTTCCCACATACAAATCCCACTCTCCTCCAGGCAGCTGGTTAGAGTCAGGAAAGCCAGATCTTCAGCTGGTACAGTGACTCTACATTAGGACAGTGGTTTTCTGCCAATTACTCTTTACCCACTGTCCCTGATGTTTCGAAGTCTGTTACAGCAAGCAGGATCTTGTGTTTTAAATTCCCTGGTGTTTTCAGAACAGGGCTGCTGCCATGGGTGGGCTCTGTGTGCTTTTTCCTTCAGAATTAACCTAGAAATGGAACATCTTATTAGTTTCCAACATAGATTTTACTAGTTAATAAAGTCAGGCTTTATTTTTCATAAAATCGGGAAGCTACCCACCCTATTATTATGCTACCATTTCTCATTTGAGTGCAGCTGGAATTACAGAGACCTGAAAAGTAAAGACTATTTTGTAAGTTTGATAAACTTGGAAGTTAGTAGCTGGCCATTCTTTTTATTGTAAATGGTAAGCTGGCTTGTCAGACACACATCATTGGACTTTTGTCGGCAACCAACACATGCACAAGGACAGATGTTATTGTCCTCTCCAGCAGCTTGAGCTAATGTTAATATTTTCTCATATTGGAATAGGAAAATTGATGGTTTTATTGCTGCCCAGGACAGAGTTTTGGAAATATTTGAGAGGGCTGGTTGGATCCTGAAGTATGATTTGTTTCACATAAATGTTTGACACTTAGAAAAACATAAAGTGGTTTATGCTGGTGATTTTCAGCTCATTTATTATTTTGTTACATGGAATGAAAGCCTCTTTGAGGTCAGACCTACTAGTCTTTAATGACTTTGAAAACTAAATAGAATTGGACTTTCAATAACTAGCAATTCAGAATATTTTAGGTTTAGTTTGTGTTTATCTTTTTTTTTATTTTTATTCAGGCCAACATAAATGGCCGGGTATTGGCTCAGTGTAATATTGATGAACTGAAGAAAGAAATGAATATGAATTTTGGAGACTGGCATCTTTTCAGAAGCACAGTAAGATTTTGTAACATTACTATGATATTTATAGTGTATTATAACACTTAAAATTATTTGCAACATTGTTTAAAACCAGAATTAGAATGTACTAGCCTAAATTGTTATTTTTCCATATTAAATTTTAAAATGTTTTTACATGTAATGTGTGTGTGTGTGTGTGTGTGTGTGTGTGTGTGTGTGTACACATGCATGGATATGTGCCATGACACATGTGGTGATCAGCGAACACCTTTTTACGGAATCAGTTCTTTCCTTCCGTATGTGGTTCCTGAGGATGGAATTTAGGTCTTCAGGCTTAGTGGCAAGTGCCTTTATTCCATGAGCCATCTTGCCAGCCATATTAAATTTTGCTTTGTTTTGTTTTTTGTGTTTTTGGCTTTTTTGTTTTTGTTTTTGTTTTTGAGACAGGGTCTCTCTATAGCCCCATTGGACTAGAACTTTCTATGTAGACCAGGCTGGCCTCAGTCTCACAGAAATCTACCTGCCTCTGCTTCCCAAGTGCTGGGATTAAAGGTCTGTGCTACCCTGTCTGGATTAAATATTTTTTATTGAATTTTATACTGTATATAGACCAGTGTTATGGAGAATATTCATAGCAGCATGTAACAATCTTTGCCTTTTTGAGAAGAGGCCACTCACCAGTTTTCCATGTTTTTATTTGACAAAAACTTTCTCCTTGACCAACTCCAAACAGGCTGTGTCATCCAGGCCTCAACCTTTAGTGTCTGTTCTTGTCCATTGCTCTGTATTAGTAGGAATCCTGGTGAATCACTTTAAAGGAAACACCTCTTCCCTCTACCTTGACATGGGATCACCCTTGATACTGGTCAGACTACTCTTTGTCATCCATCCACTCCCAGGTGATGTCTGATCATCCTGGCTTGTCTTCAAGAATCTTGTCAAATTGGTTTACCTGTATTCCTCCTTGAACACTGGCCTTTTCCCAGCCCCTTCCTTGGCTATAAATTCCCACTTGTTCTTGCTATCTTTGTTGCTGAACTGGCTCTATGCTGAGATTTGTTTCCTACATTGCAGTAGCTCCTGACTAAAATATGCTCTTTCTGATTTATGCTCCAGCTCTGGTTTTCTTTAACATGTAGCAGTTGCATTTTGCTTTGTTCTCAAGTTTCAAAAGTTGTAAGCTAAAATAGTATAATGGATAGATTATAGACTGTATATGTTGATTTCTATTAGTACTTCTTTTAGCATTAATTACTAATTAAAATTTAAGGTAAGAAGATTAGGTACAAGTTCATTAGACATTACCTAATAGCAAGTATGTTTTCTTATTCCTAGTGTAGTAACTTTATAGTGTTTTATTACTAAAACTTTTCTAAAGAGTCTACAATGTGATTTGTCATTATAGATATCATATATATATATGTGTGTGTGTGTGTGTGTATTTCCCACTAAGGTATTAGAAATGAGAAGTGCAGAAAACCAGGTGGTCCCTGAAGACCCACGTTTTCTTAATGAAAACTCCAGTGCCCCAGTTCCGCATGGTGAATCTGCTCGTCGCTCTTCCCACAATGAATTGCCTCACACTGAACTTTCCAATCAAACTCCCTATACATTGAACTTCAGCTTTGAAGAACTGAACACACTTGGCCTAGATGAAGGCGCCCCACGTCACAGTAATCTAAGTTGGCAGGTATTTATTATCATTTTTTCATGTAATTGAAGAATAAAGGCAATATGAAAATAGTTGATACATTAATAGTCATTCAGAAAATGCTTATTAATACCCAGCTGGGCAAGATGATGGTTTCAGTACTCAAGGAGTCATGTTTATCTGAGGGGGAATAATCCGTGTAAGATATAGGGGAAAATAAGGTTATTTAGAAATTGAGAATAGTGAAAACACAGTCACATAGGGCAAGGGCCTAAAAGTAAGAACTGGGCTGAATTAGCATGGGTGCAAGTTTGACTTTTTATTGCTATTTTCCTATGAGACTGTGTAGTTATTAGATATAGTATATCTGTATTAGAAAACTAGCCCCATGTTATCCTGTTGAACCCTACAGTTTAGTTTTCCTATATTCACAGACACACACATCACACGCCATACTTGCTCTTTCTCTCCCTTGCTCAGGATGGGCTTCAATCCCTCAAGTGATTCTCCTGCCTCAGTCTCCTGAGTGCTAGAACCACAAGCCTGTAAAACTGTATGAGTTACTACACATATGTTCTGCATGGGGGATAGTCTTAGAAGAAGGACAGGTGAGCATCAGGAACAGAAGTATAAGTAAGGGATGCGTGAGGAATAGGGAGGCATTAGAAGAAAATAAGCTAGAGAGAACCAGAGCAGGGTGCAGAAGACCAGCGAGAGAGGCAAAAACAGGAACTACAAAGAAGTCATGTACTGAAGGGGACCAGAGTCTAGGAAGAGCAGTGCCTGGCTGTTGCCATTATTAAGGTGTTTGTTTGGTAATTAAAATCTTTACATTTTTTCCCTCCATACTGTATACCTTAAGTCAAGAAACCATTTTATTATTCAAAAATTGACTGATAGAGAAATTAGTTTACAATAGGCTAAATCCATGCTTGATCCTTTGGCCTCTGTTTCAGCAGCAGTGCTTCATTTCTTTTCCTTACATTCCTTTCAACTTTCTGAAGAGCTGCTCATCCTTACACCAACTATCTGGATGCTTCTGTCTATGACCTGGAAGCCAGGAGCATTCCCATTAGCACAGTAGTTCTCAAATTGCTCTTTAGTCTTAGCACCCCTTTGTACTCTTAAAAATTATTCAGGACACACACACACACACACACACACACACACACACACACACACACACACAATCACACTCACTTTAGTTGGTCACATGCCTGTAGTCCCAGCACTTGGGAGGCAGAGGCAGGTCGATCTCTGTGAGTTCAAGGACAGCCATGTCTACATAGTGAGTTCCAGGACAGCTGGGGCTACAGGGAGACCCTGTCTCAAAAAGGCCAAAAATAAAAAATAAAAATTATTCAGGATCCTGGGCTGGTGAGATGGCTCAGCAGGTAAAGATGCTTGCCACCAAGCCTGATAACCTGACTTTGATTCCCAAGACCCACATGATGGAAGAAAAGAATCAACTCCCAAAAGTTGTCCTCTGACCTACACACACGCACACACACACACACACACAAAGAGAGAGAGAGAGAGAGAGAGAGACAGAGACAGAGAGAGATAGTGAGAGATTGATTACTGAATGAATGAATGAATGAATGAATGAATGAAACAATAGATTATCAGGAACCAAAATAGTTGCTGGTGTAGGTTGCTATAAATAGTTAAATAGAAACTGAAAATGTTTCCAAATATCTATTCATTTGTTTTTATAAAGTTAACAACAACAACAAAAAAACTATACTTTTCCAAACAAAACAAATTCAGTGATAATGGATTAGCTTTGCACACATATTTAATGCCTGGCTTCATAGAAGAGGACTAGATCCCCATATGCTGCTGCCTTGAGTCTCTTGTAACCTCACACACATGTGGCTCTGGGAACTCCACTGGGCACTCTTGTGTGGATGAAGGTGAAAGGCAGAGAGCATTATCCTGTTCTTCAGAATGCAGTTTAGAACCTGCGTATCCCCTACACAGGGTGGCGCAGGCAGCATTCAAGAACAGCTCATTAGTAGATGGATCAAGGCACTGTGTTTCCAGCTGACTGAATCCCAGGTGACCTTCTCAGGGGGAGAGATGTTGTCCCCTTCCAGAGACAGAACCCCTGCCTTGTTCTAGTCCTTTGCTCTGGTCCCTTCTCAGATTTTCTTGATGCTTTCTCTTCCATTCCTAATCTGTCCCTTTTCCTAATCTGTCCTTTTGTTCCTCATTTGTTAGCTTTCCTAGAATCTAAAGCAACTCTAATCTTAAAACTTACTATTAGAAGCCAAATTTAAAACTACTTCATTCTTTATGAGCATATAGCAAACTGGCCTCACAGATTCTATTACAGTTCATTAGAAATCTTTATTACTTTTCTAATCTTAAGTACATTTTCTTCCTCTAAATTAAAATTTGACAGACACTTCTTATATAATTTCAGACAGGCTTTTTAAAATCATACCTTGAATACTTGAGCATTTTGTTTTTGAGATATGTTTTAATTTTCTTCTTTCTTCCAAGAAGAATTTTTAATCTATGAAAGTAACTTTTGTCTTAAAATTTAAAAGTTTAAAATTATTAGAAACAAGTGCTCAGATGATTTACACAACTAGAAATTATTTTAAATATTAACAGTAAATTAATCTTACTAAAATTTTTATAAAGTTTTCTAATAACAGAATTATTAAATTCACAGCTTTTGTTAAACTGTGTTAGGTAGATTTTTTTCAAAGGAAACTGGTATTATGATAACTTTTAAATTGTTAGTGTACATAGATATTTCCTAGCTGATGTTTATTATGTCTTTTTTTTCCTTCTTATATGAATTTTTAAAATATTTTTTTCTGTCTTCACAGTCACAAACTCGCAGAACCCCAAGTCTCTCGAGTCTCAATTCCCAGGATTCCAGTATTGAAATTTCAAAGCTTACTGATAAGGTGCAGGCTGAATATAGAGATGCTTATAGAGAATATATTGCGCAGATGTCCCAGTTAGAAGGGGGCACAGGGTCAGCAACAATCAGTGGCAGATCTTCTCCACATAGCACATACTACATAGGTCAGAGTTCATCAGGGGGCTCTATTCATTCTAATCTAGAACAAGAAAAGGGGAAGGAGAGTGAGCCAAAGCAGGATGATGGGAGGAAGTCTTTCTTAATGAAGAGGGGGGATGTCATAGATTACTCCTCATCTGGGGTGTCCACTAATGACGCCTCACCCCTGGACCCTATTACTGAAGAAGATGAAAAATCTGACCAGTCAGGTAGTAAGCTGCTCCCAGGCAAGAAATCCTCAGAAAGGTCCAGTCTCTTCCAGACAGATTTAAAGCTTAAGGGAGGTGGTCTGCGCTATCAGAAACTTCCAAGTGATGAAGATGAATCTGGTACAGAAGAATCAGATAATACTCCACTGCTCAAAGATGATAAGGATAAAAAGGCTGAAAGCAAAGCAGAGAGAATATCAAAGTCTCCAGAGCATAGTGCTGAGCCAATCAGGACATTCATTAAAGCAAAGGAGTATTTATCGGATGCCCTCCTTGACAAAAAAGACTCCTCAGATTCAGGAGTGAGATCCAATGAGAGTTCTCCCAATCACTCTCTTCACAATGAAGCAGCTGATGACTCCCAACTTGAAAAGGCAAATCTCATAGAGCTTGAAGATGACAGCCACAGTGGGAAGCGGGGAATACCACACAGCCTGAGTGGCCTGCAAGATCCAGTTGTAGCTCGAATGTCCATTTGCTCAGAAGATAAGAAAAGCCCTTCTGAATGCAGCCTGATAGCAAGCAGCCCTGAAGAAAGCTGGCCTGCATGCCAGAAGGCCTACAATCTGAACCGAACACCCAGCACTGTGACTCTGAACAACAACAGCACACCAGCCAATAGAGCCAATCAAAACTTTGATGACATGGAGGGGATCAGGGAAACCTCTCAGGTCATTTTGAGGCCTGGGTCCAGTCCCAACCCAACTGCTATTCAGAATGAAAATCTAAAGAGTGTGGTGCACAAGCGAAGTCAGCGTTCAAGTTACACAAGGCTTTCAAAAGATGCTTCAGAGCTGCACACAGCCTCTTCTGACAGCACAGGCTTTGGAGAGGAGAGAGAAAGCATTCTTTAGGGAAACCAAATAGAAGTAGAATTGCATTGTTCTACCCTTAGGACAAGATTGTCATGAATTTTGAATTTTTCCATCACAGTTATTCATCATATTCACACATCACAAATAATTTATAGATGATCAGGCCTTTGGTGAAAAAGACTTCTTCTGTCATATAGAGGAAAGCCAAAGAAACGATGGTTCACCAGTTGCCACCATTGTTGCCTTTGTCACAATTTAGTCTTACTAACACTGTTACCCCTTTCACTGGCTCATAACTCCACAGACTTTTATGAGAAATAATCAGGGTATAAAATTAGGTCAGAAGAAATGTTTATTTAGAGTTTAAAGGTCTTAACTCACGAAGAAAAAAATCCTAGAGATCCCCTTTATAGACCATTTATGAACCATTTGAGGGAAGGCAGAAGCAAATTTTGCTGGTAAACTATTCAGATAAGAATTTTCTAGGTTTTGGAGTATCCCAGAGACTAAAAGAGAATGCTTAGTAAATGGATAGTCAGAGACACATTGCTTATTAAAGTGGTTTTAAAATTTAAGTAGAAAATATATACTGAATAGGGTGATAGAAATTGGTAAGAAAGTGAGTCAGCAGGATCCAAAGTGCTATGTGTGCCTGGGCGTCACAAGTTGATAGCAGAGTTGGTAGAAGAGGGCAGAATATACCAGGATGCTCTCTCTAGACCCAGCCCTGGCTTCTAACACCATCCACCTCTGCCCCAGAAACCACCTTAGTCTATTCTGCAACTCTTAAAGTATGCATCTAACTTAGCTTAGCCAAGAGAGGAGAAAAATGTGAATTCCTTTTTTTAAAAAATGGTGCTGGGGTTCAAACCCAGGACCTGAAAAATGCTGGGTAAAGTCCTCTATCACCTAGCTACATCCCCAGCCCCAAACATGTGTTCTTTCTTGGGAGAATCAGGAACATATGGGCACTAAGAGGCACTAGTAAATGTGTACTGAGTGAATACATGAGGAAGTTATTACATCAAAAGGGTTAGTGGCACCAGAAAATGGCAAGAAAAATTAATTAGGCAGAATTAAATTACTGCTTTCTGTACCAGAGCAGTTTATCTAGTGCGTCTGTTCCTGAATCAGCACCTTAATCCTGGGGAGAAATAATTTAAAAAAGAAATACTGTTTTTAAAAAAGTTTAAAAGCATGTAACAAAGCAAGAGTGAAGAAAAGAGCTAGCTGGTGTAACTGTGACACTACCATTTCCATTTTTAGCCATTAGAAGAATGGCCGTGTGCATTTAGGTATCATGTAGACTAGAGATGTGCCTGCCATCCATCATGCATTGGAATGTCGTGTTAACATAGCTTGTGTATGCAGAGTTAGTTCTGGCAGTATATCCTAAGTCACAGGTAGGATTTGTAGGTGGTGAGGTCATAGAGTTAGTGTCATGCTTTGATGTTTGTCATTGAATAGATCTGTATTAATATGCTGCTTATTTACCTGACGTTACAGTAGTAGCTGCTCTGTGTTTCACTGCCTTGATATTTGGGTGTAATCAAGCATTTTCATAAAGTGCATATTTTGCATGGTCTTTAACAAGTGTTTTAGCTGTTACTGACATATCTTGAAGTGTTCACATGCTACTGTTGATAGTGTTTATCACTTTGCAATATCATGTAATTAGCAAATATTTCTGAGGCAGTTTTTTCCTTTCAGGTGAGTAGTTGCAGCTTACAATCACGGGAGAATGTTATTTATACTGTTTGTGCCATTAATCCTGGAGTACCAAGTGTACAAGTAGATTTAGAAAACAATAAAAAGTTGCATGCTATTCTGACTCATGGATTTTATTCACTACATTGATAATGATTCACACGATTAAAAATTAAAAAGTGGTTTGTGTGTTTGTTTTGCCATATATGTGAAGTTTGTGAAGACATAGGTCATGAAGTCAGCAAAAGTGTTCCCCATAGCCCTTGCTTGTCTTTCTGAGAAAGCTTAGCTCCCAGTGTCCAACTGTGCTCTCTTGAAGCTTCAGTACCCACAGAACATTGGCATCATGGCACTGGGCAGTCCATTCTGTAGCCAGAAGGCAGGTGACCCAAATCCTAGAGAAGATCGGTTTACTCCATGAACACTCTGGGCCAGTTTGCTTTCTCCTCCTGATGCAGAGATTGACAGACCAAATGGGTTCCTGAGTCACAATGACCCTCTGAATCTGCATGTCAGTTATGTGTCTCTGTCTATAACACATAGCTCAGTCTGATTTACACATAGGCAAATTTTGCATTAAGCTGAATGGAAATAATAGAAAAAAATGAGGCTCTAATCCTGCAAGTTCTTTAGGTTCTGACTCACAGTTGAACATTATTTGAACCATCTTACCTCCACCTTCAGCCACAGAGGGTTCTGTTGGTGTAGCATCGTATAACTCACTGTGGCCATAGGGAGGCTACTTTTGAGTACATCTGTGGGGAAGACCAGAAATGAATAGAAACTTGGTATTTTTCATTTGAAGCAACTTTTCCAGTGCTGAATGATTAAGGTTCAGAATCCTACACTGTGAAGTTTAAAAATTTGTGAAAACTGAACCTTGTTGGGCAAGGTGGCACATGTCTGTAATCCCAGTACTCAGGAGATAGAGGCAGGAGAATCAGGAGTTCAAAGCCAATCTAGGCTCCATAGTGGACTTTAGGCCAGCCTGGCTTATGTGAGACTCTGTCTCAAAAGCTAAAAAAGAAAACTGAAACAGTTCGATAATAAAAGGACAGTTTGTCTTCATGTGATATTTTATGTAAGTTCTAAATATAGTCAGAATAATTTTAATTATGTAGCCAAGTAATTTGAGAGTTGTATTTGCTTAAATTCTCATCTTGAGAACTCTTTAGAAATTATTTGCATGTTATAGTGCTGTGATAAAGTAATTTGTGATCATGATTTTTTTTTCTTACAAATGCCAATAAGAATTTTTTTGAATAACATTAAATCCTTTTTTTGTCTGGCTAAAGTACTAAATTTAAAAGGTTTTAAGACTATGTAATTTTTGGTTACACCAGGAATTCTCAGCCTCTTTAGAAATGTGCTAGAGTTAAAAAAAAAAAAAAATCCTGAATTCCTGGTTAACTCCTGAATAGATCACTCTGCTTACCAGGAAAGGAGAGAGAGGGCTCCCTTTATTTTATGGGTGAATGACCTTCAGGGATTAGATAGGGAGAAAGGTGCAATAAAATTAATTTTTTTGGCAAATACTTGGTACAGGGCCCCAGCCTGCATTGGTCCCCACCTTCTTTCCTGGGCTTCACAGACACTTGGCAGAAGGGAAAAGCAAGTGAGGACACCCTCCTGCTTGAGGGAGGCTAGCCATCTGCAATGACTGCCTTCCCCCACTCAAGTGGAAGCACAGGCCACAGTTACATGAGTGAACTGAAAAGTAGAAATTTGTAGATAACAGTGAGCTGGCCCTAGATGGCGTTTAAAGGGCTCATCACTTGGCAAAGGTTGAGAATCCCTGGTTGAGACTAAGTAAGTGGAAAGGCCTTAAAGTCTTACATGATGTTAAACCCTTTCCTGCCTAGGAAGAAAATGCTGCCCTGAGCTAGATAGACAGCGCTTCAGAAGATCCGGTCTAAACTGAGGTATGTAAAAACCAGCCTTCAAAGTAAGAAGCATCTAGAACAGTTGCTAGGAATTAACCACTGCCACTTACATGACTGAAGATTTTTCAATAAAGTAAGCAGCAAACTGCAGCCCTGGCCACATGTTCTCATCTTGGCTGGTGCTGTGGATGAAAGGCTTCTAGGGGTGTTCTGGAACTTAGAGCTGAAACCCTTTTTGAGTGGGGCCTCAGTGGCTATATGATGAGAAACCATTTGGAAAATAATTTATAATAGAGGGGTTCATCATGAAGGAAGGGTAATGACTGATGTTCCTTGACTCAGGATAGGATCTCATCCTGATAATCCCAGCAGAAAATGAGAGTCTCCTACATTGAAGATATATTGAATACCCCTACCCAACACCCCAGAACAGCACTCAGTGGAATGTCTGGGGGTTCCCCCCAGGATGGCAATGGTGCCTGGGAGCACTGTCATAAGCCCCAGGAAGGAGCAAAATTCAGAATTTGAAGCATGGTTTTACCAAAATCCTAACTGGAGTGAAGACCAACCTAAATTATAAAAACAAAATAAAGCAAAACAACAACAAAAAATGTGATTTCTCACATATTGGCAGTGTTACTGTCTCTAAGCACATAAAATATTCTGTCTGCCTGGAGGTGCGGCCAGTAGTCATTGATTCACAGAGTGCACATGAACCCTAACCTCTCCAGCTAAAGTTGTTCTGTGTAGTGACTTACTACAGTTTATAGTAGGAGCTCTTGTTGCAATCTAGCAAAACATGAAATAGCATAGCAAAATGAATTATTAAAATATTAAGACATGAGTGAATGAAAATTTACTTTTAAAACAATACATGTCCTATATTTGAATTAAGCTGTTAGAGATCATCTTGATTTTTCACTATTATAATTTTAACATGTTTATACGTATTTACCTCCTTTTCTTTCAAGGCAACAAGGGCTCTAGACCATAGTACTCTGCCCATAGACCAAGCAACGCTTCTTTCTCATTCTCCCAGCAGCTGGGTTAGTTTTTACAGCTGGCTTCCTCACCACATATCTGGGTGAAGAAGACATGGCCACTACCCAGTAACCCTGCATGCATTCGGCTGGAGAAGAGATGTCACCTCTTTATTTGTTCTCCATAATTGTAGGAGTTAAATTAGCTTAATTAGTTTAATAAAGTGTTACTTTTATGCAATTTTAGGCAAAAGCCCAATGTATGGCAAAAACATGTAAATAATCTATATAGCCTCATTTCATGTCATGTAGCATGTGCCTGATAGTTATCCAATAAAAAGTTGCACTTCTCTCAAAATTACCAGAGTTCCTGACACTCACACTTTTTAAATGTTTCTTAAAACTTTTAGACTGCGTGCTGTCATATTTAATATGAATTGAACTTCTTTTATTTTAAAAGAAATTTTCTTTTTGGATTCTTTGCATTTTTTCCATATTTTACCTGGGTTCTTTTCAGTCTTTTTGTGTCTGTTTTCTTAGAACTTGCCACATATTCATCCTATTTTACACAAAACAGCCATTAGTGCAGTAGAATGGGAAGAAACTCCAACACAGCTTTTTAGACAGACTCAACTTCACATAGTTTGAGACACTCGATAGATATTTTTGTGAGTGAATAAAGAATATCTAGAGTAATGAAACTAGTAGAATCTGCCTACACGACCTTCACAGGGTCTTCAGAACACTAAATGTCAATGCCTTCGTGCTGTGTGTCTTCAGCACAGTTCCTCGCCAGGCCCCTTCCCTCCCACTTTATACCCACCCCATCACCTGCCTTTTCTGTTTGTGATTCCAGCAATCTTTCAAGAATACTTCATTAAAAACTCTCAAGCCACTGGGCATGGTGGCTCTGGTCTTTAGTCCCAGCTCTTGGGAGGCAGAAACAGGCCAGTAGGAGGTACAGGGAGACCCTGGTTCAAAATGAAACCTCCCAAGGATGGACACCCACAGCCCACCATGGTAAGCTACATCATTTTTAAGTGCTAGGCAGTGTGCCTTGCCACAGCTGTGCTTTGAGACCCTCCTGTGTACTTTAAACCCTTACTTTAGTGGAGAGGCCCACCTTATACATCAGTATAACTCTAGAATCAAACTAAACCAGTTCAGTTCTGCACTTTACATTCATTATTGAAAGTATATTAAATTGTAACTTAGCTGTGGTGAGTCTTCAATTAGGGTATGTAATTTCAGTGTGACTATTCAATACCAGGACCATCACAGTGCTTGAAAAGGTTAACTTATCCAGCTCAGACCTTCAAGCTTTCTTTCAGTGGGGTTATTTTCTTTGACCAGCCCTCATCATCTTCATCATTCCCTATCTCAGACCACTCTGACTGACCTATAAAAAGCACGTTCTGCTAGGATTCCATATGGAGTATTTTTTATATGAGTGAGTAAGTATGTTGTTTGAAATTCTTACCATGTTGAGGCAGGCAAACCACTGTAACAGCCATACCCTAGTCTCATCGACCTAATGCATTTGAACTTCATTTCTTGTTTGAGTAACAGTTCAGTGTTACCTAAGTTCACATAAAGACTTGGGGACTAGGTTCCTTTATCCTCTGGCCCACATCGTGAATTCAGTCACAAGGGAGGTGAGAGGTCAGCAGGGAAGTGTGTACTGGACAGACCTACAGTGGTATAAGTGGTGCTCTTGTACTTTTATACACATTGACTTCACAAGTCATGGGCTCCTGCTGAGCTGCAATGCAAGCTGGGAAGTTGAGTGTTTCTCTGTGCCCCAGAGGAAGGTCACAGTGAGGTGAGCACTTAGATGTGACATTTATTATCCCTAGTGGGTTAAAGGTACCTTCTTGTATTAAACTAATAGTTAATTCTGTTGAAGTCTCTTAAATTTTACTTTGGCACAGTTTTTATTCTGATAGTGGAGTCAGCTAAAATCCTAACCCTTAACAGGAAAAAGTTTTAGGAGTTTTCAATCAACTAGTTCTTTCCTTAATTTTGAGAAGCAGAGTGTGGGGAGATTCGAGTAAGACTAAGAATGGGGTAAAGGGAGTTTTACAGCCCTTCTAGAATTTACCCACTTAAAGCACTCAGGGACCATCAAACACCCACAATCTGCTTGATTTTTAAGAGTCAGTTGTAAATATTTGCTGTACACTCTCTTGTTATCAGTTCTTTAAACTCCCCAGTGGTGGAAGCTGTCACTTGTGGAACTTCCATTTGCAGATGCA